GTATTTTAAACTGTATAAAAAAAATTGAAATCAATTGTGAAAATCCATTCCTTATATAGGACGTTCCCTCCTGTTATAGAAATATCAATAATATTCACCTGTTCTGGAATAACCCCATTAATCAACTCATCAATACATCTATTATGAATTATTTTATTAATGATTAATATTGGTTACATCCATTGATTATCCAGGTGTTTGAGCAATTAGTCAATCAATAAAACTCAACATCTGGATAATTGGTCAGTCAATAGAATTCAACACCCAGATAATTGGTCATTCACTGAATATCCACTGAATATCTGCCGAATATCTGTTAAATATTAAATTTATTTAAAAAAAAATTTTTTATTCATCAGGAAAAATATAATAAATTTTTATATCAAGATCAAGAAAAATATTTTCAATACACACATTGCATATTTTTTTTTAAGAAATACAATTCTTTCAAATAATAATGGTTCAATTTTGTTCGTTTGGCTGTCATTATAGAATGTAATAGTGATAAAATATTATTTACATTAATTATGGGATAAAATTTTTTATTTTTTATATTCTGTACCACTGATTATTCACCAATTATTTGGTGAAAATTTTCAACACCCGATTAATTAATCAATGAAAAATTTTCAATACCTAATTAACTGGATAATTGGTGAATAATTGGTGAATATCATTTGGCAGATACAACCACTAATGATTAAAAATATTTAACTGCATATAAATTTATAAAAAATTTAAACTTACTTTTTGTTGCATAATTACAAAAAATATCAAAAAGTTCTACATTTTTTCTTTAAAAGAATCTGATCAATGTTTGGCATTTTCTTTTAAATCCATATAATATTTATGAACTGAAAGCTTTGTTTGGTTTAAAATTTTTAAATTGGATTCAGAAACATCAAAAACTCTTATAAATATTTCTCTTTTATTATTGGAGTAATGAGATTCACCTAAGAAATTATTAAATATTAAAGATTAATACGATTCTTATAATTTTAATAAATGTAACTTTCTTTACAAATAACAGTTAAAAGTAATTGAATATATAATTAAAATAAATAAGTTTTCAAAACTAACTAATGATAAAGATTATCTATGAAAAATAATTATTACATCAACAAAATTAATGTTGGTGGTAATTATACTCATGTCAGTAGTAAAAGTAAGCAGGTAAAGAAGTAATATATTTATTTATACTGTATATATATACAACTATTACTAAAAAATATAAGGAAAAATATCTCAATTCTATTTTTTATTATTATTATTATTTCAAAGATGACAGAGAATCCTCAAAGAAAACCAAAACTAGATAGATAATAAAGTGTATTACAACTAATATAAATAATAGGTATATTAGATGGGAAATCTACATTTTTTTGGTAGGAAAAAAACACATGTGTTCATAATTGTAGCATTTACAATTTTGAAGTGCATTCTTCTTCATATTTGGTTAATTACCCACCCAATGCATAGAGGAAAAATGGTTGGGATAGCAAAGGAAACTATTTATTATGATTTTATGCATACATTTTATATCCATATTCAATTAACTACATTGGATGTTGACCATCCTAAAACAATTTAATATTTGACAATTTGAAAAATAAAATTTTTATTATTTATAAAAATTATAAATTTGTTTTTGTAAGATTTTCAAGCCAATAAAATTTGATTTTTGTGTGATTTTTTGGAGGGTGATCATCGTAAAATTTAGCCAATGTAAAGTCACAATGTGATAAACGAATATCCATTATTATTATGCTTTTGTTTCAGAAAATTTTCGTTTTGGCCCTTTTTTTATTGATTAAATATTTTTGCACAAGTACTAACAAATCCAAATTACTAAATTTAAAAATAACTAATTTAAAATCGACACACCACATTTCCATATTAATATTTCTAAAACCAAATTCTAATTATAAAATGTCTCTGACAACTATTATAAAAAATAATGAGTTAGCTTAATTTTTTTTATTTTTACATGTAATTCTTATTAATAAATTAAATCATTTGTTTCAACAAATTTTTGTGCTGGTACCGGGGTGCGGAATGCGTGATCAAAAATATCAGGGGAATGCCTTATTTGGAAATCTTCAAAAAATTTTCTTAAATAATAATAATAAGTTTCTATTCAAATAAGGTTTATTCAAATCATTCGTTTTATCTGTTATTATTATTATTATGAATGAGTATTCGAATTACATTGAAGGTTTATTCGAATAAAATGGTTCAAATAAAATAATATATTAACATTGCTAATCCATCCAATTAAAATATTTTTCCTTCATAGTCCTTCTATATCGTTATAATAATAATAAATAATGATAGAGAAGTAATCGAGCATTTTATTTTCTTTTCTTAAGTCATAGTATTAGTAGTAGTAACATAGATATAATTATTAATTTATATAATTTTACAATCCCCTAACAAATAATTTGAATAAAATGAATAATTCAAACAAATTATAATTCGAATAAATGAATAATTTGAATAAAATGATTCAAAATAAGAAAAGATGTCAATCTCTGTCAGCCAATAATTTGAACGTGACATTCACAATGTTATTAAAATGATGATCATATCACATTTTTATTTATGTGACACTTTAGAGAGAAAATAAATACGTAAATACTTTTGACTTTGCTACTACACAAAAAATTATTTTCTTAATGTCGTTCTTCCAACAACAACAGCCACAACAACAGTCATCGTTTTTCCAACAACAGCCACAGCAACAACAGACATCTTTCTTCCAACCACCACAACAACAACAGGCACAACAGACGACATCTTTCTTCCAACCACAACAACAACAACAACCACAACAGACATCTTTCTTCCCACAACAACAACAACCACAACAGCAGACATCTTTTTTCCAACAACAACCACAACAACAACAGACATCTTTCTTCCAACAGCAACAGCCACAACAACAACAATCATTATTCCAACAATCGCAACAAACACAGCAGCAGCAACCGCAACAACAACAGTCATTGACCGCATATGATGAATTATCTAGATTGATAGATGCCTGGAATTACAATAAGCCGGAATGCAAATTTCAAGTAATAATAATATCAATATCAATCTCTAATTACATTAACTAATTGTATATGTATTAAAGACGATTATTATTATTAATGATAGGGATATTTATATAATATGGTTCAACCAAATACTGCCGAATACTATAAACCACCAGACCGAATGTCACAACAACTTTGGTTAGAAGCACAAAAGAATAATCCAGATAGAAAAACGTAAGATTATTAATTAGGATAGGCAAAAACTCCGAGATAAAAAAGATAAAATTAATCAATCCTTTAATTATTGATTTTCATAATTATGATTATAGCCTTGTTCCTGCTTTGGTGGTTGGGTTTGATGACATCAAGAAAAGAATAAGTATACAAGAAGATATAGCAGGAAAAGCCATAAATAAATTTAAGGTTTTAATCTCATTCATCTATCCACTCATTCGTTCGTCCATTCATTCGTTCATTCATTCATCAATATGATAAAAGATTCAATTTACTAATTATTATTTTATTCTATTGGTTGAAAACATAGGAACTTGAATCAGAATTAGCAACATTGGAACGAATTCATAAACATGATAATTTAACAAAAATTCAAGATCGTAAACTAAAACATTTAGAATTAACCCAGCGTCTTATAAAGGTTCTTTATACTATTGATCAAATCTCTTGTTTTAAAAAAATATATCACTAAAACGTAAATATATTAAATAATTTAGTTGATGAACTGTATTCAAATTTTAAGAAATAAAGGTAATATGATTACAGCCAATGAAGAATTATTAAGAAATCGCTTAGAAACGATAAAAGAACACTATACTAGATTATCCAACCAACTTGACATAATCAAGGCAAATAATTCATTAAGAAAACCATTATGGAATACAAATGAACCAACATTAGTTCATAAATTTAATACTGTGGATGAAAATCAAATGGAAAGCATAATTAAGGTAAAAGAGAAGAAAAAATATATTGTGTGTGTGTGTGTGTGTTTATTGTGTATGTATTTAACTCTGAGATTATTTTTTATTTTATTTTGGTTAGGTGTTGGATTCTGAACAACAAGGTATAGATCATACTATTAATGTATTGAAAAAAGATTCTAGAGATACTGAGTATATTATAACAGAAATGAATAACAAAGGTGTCAAAAAGCAATAATTCTAATTAAAATAGAAAGAAATTAAAACTTATATTATATTACATACAATCTCTTTACAATAATAGAAATTATTATTATTAT